CAGTAAAATGATTTATTTAATGAATGCGCAATCGCGTTAACTTCCTTAAAACGATGCAGGGGCGTCCGTGGCAGAGTGGTTAAGACCGTTGACTTCAAACCACTTCGAATCCCGACAGTGACTTTGGATTCTTTCATTTGAGGAAGCTATCCAGCTAGATTACAAAACTAAATTGTACCCACAATAATACTAACAAACCTACGAATACATACAAACAGGTTTTTAAATATATACTTATCATAGAGTGTATAATGATGTTCATCTTCAACAATACATGTTTTTACCTGGCGTACATAAATGAAAATTATTGCAACGTTTTATTGAGACTCACATATATAATCTCCGAGGAAGTTTATCGACGGGAAAAGATTATGTTATCCAGTGTGATAAATCACATTTCACTATAAACAGGAAGAAATAAGATTTAGAATGTCAACGTGGCATTAAATCTGCATCAATAAAGTGAATTAATTAATGAAACAGGCCTCGTAACTGATCAGCATCCAATCCTTATAAATGTGTTTTGACGAAAGTGTCTTGATCTACTTTCCCTGTATTTTTTCACCTTTTTCTGTTATTTTACTTGAATAGCGCAAGTAAAATTTGGTATGATTGTAGATAAAATCTTAAATAAACACAATTTATTTTCACTTTTTAAATGTTAAACTATGCTTACGGCGGTGCTGGGGTGTGCCAGGGGGTCTTGTCGAAATCCATTAACAGACTCAATATGGAAGGGAACTTGTGACATTTGTACAATTTTGTCGTTTTGATGACATTTATGGTTTCATTTGCGACTTTTTTTCAATTAATTTTACTAGTCTTATAATTTCCAAAAACAAAAACAAAACAAAAAACGCAACTGCTTTAACGTAGTTTGTATAATAAAACATCGTTTTAAAGCGTATGTAACTAAAGCATTTACAATGTTTTACAAAGCTTTGTGATTTGTTTAACAGCCGGGAGACAATCCAAGTGATGAGGTTTTTATCACTTTTTATTTTTTTTTTTTTTTTTGTATTTTGTAATTCTTAAAATTATCGCTCATCATTCAATTATCAATAAACGCTCAAAATTTAGAGCAGGACTTATTAAGAAATGATATAATTGTTTCATACATAAATATACCAATGGAATGATTTCAAATAGCATTAATTTACTATTATTGAATTTAATAATGCGAAATGTTAGTATAAATAATTCTATAAAGTATAAACATTGTTACTATAAACTGTCTTGTATACGCACATTTTCTTGTCTAAATGTGTCTGAATGACAATGTCATTTTAGTTAGAATTGGTAAGTACATCACAAAGTGATTTGTCTAAAACGAAAACGTTATGTCTGACTGCTTTGACTATATGACATTTCCCATGTGTCCAAACTCATTTCGACGATGGTTATAATTATAACAGTAAAATAACACCCGTCTCAGTATACGATTCTGTTTTATATCTTTTTTGTTAATTTGACAAAACTTATCAAGATCTGTGCTTTCTCTCTATTTAGTATTTTGTATCTAATAAATGGACTGTTTATAAAAAAAAAGGATTCAAAACACTAATTTGGTTAGTGTTTGTTAGTCACAAAATTACATTATATTAATTTTACTGATTGATTGGTATATTGATATTTTGACCCGCTTAGTTTTGTAAATACTGACACTTAGACTACCAACCTTAATTAAGATAATCTTTCAATACTGTTCTGTTCCATTCGTTCATTTAATAAATTTCAACATTTACGATTGTTTTCATATATTTGTCATATTTAAGTTAAGTTTTCAAAATGAATTAGCTTGACCTATAATTGTTTAACTTGCAAGCATTGATATTTCAGGATAGGAGAATGTTTTGTATAGTTCTTATATCATGATGATTTTATATATTTTATATATCATGAAATTGTACGAACATGCAGTGATTGTGAAAATTGAAATGGGTAAAAGAATTGAAATATTCATATGGACAAAACGTATTATTCTCACCATTTGCCGAAAACCTAGTTGTATATCTGATGTACGACTATATAAATGTCATATCATATATAAAATACTAGATAATCAAGTAAATCCTATGTACTCCCCGTATTAAAATCTATCAGCAGACGTTCTGCTTCATTAATACATAAATGTGCTTTTTGCAGACAAATTTGTATTTTTGAACATTACTATAGAATGTCTTTATGTTAAATTCTCATAACATTTGATGTGTGTAGTATTGACATATATTTGGTCATTTGATAAACAATAAGTAGAATAAATATTTCATATCATGATTTAGAAATGTTTACATTAAATCCATAAACATCCTCCTAAATACACACTGAATTGTAAAAATAACAATAACTTTGAGACAAGTAATGCTTTTGTATTTCCCAGGTGACGACATTTTATTTGACGTTGTCAATACTTTTATGTTCTTTGTCATTTCTTTTAAAAACACTAGAAAGTATAAAAATGTCTCGCAATTGACATATCCTGTGTGTGAAATGTCTGTATAAATCTCTTTTAAATCCCTTTATTCTCCCCATGAATAAACACTGAATAATAAATATAACAATAACTCTGTGACAAGTTACTCGTATATATTTCCCAGGTGGGAAATTTGTTAGCACAATACTTGCTTGATCATTTCAATGCGTCTAGCCGAAGAAATGGGGGTGATAACTTGTCCAGAATAGTGCGTAGAAATACACTATGGTAATGCTATTATATTCATGTATATACTGACCATCTTTGTTTGAATCGTTTCAAGTTGATATATATTATATTTTTTTCGCCGATGTATTATTTGCATATTTAGGTTCCTTCATATTATGGTCAAATCATTACGTCACATTTATTCAATTTAAAAGATTTTTAAAATGTTAATCACTTTTAACATAATGTATACAGATGGTTACTTGTGTGTTCTATAAACATTTCTTTTTTTCTTTTTGGTAGAGTTTATTCCTGCTTTAATCCCAATTCAATGATATGTACTAGCTAGATCAAATCCTCTGTGTTTATATACAGCTAGGTTACACTAAAAATAAAAATTGATCACTTTATAGTCTTAAACAGCACTGTTCGTGTCGTTAAAATGACAATTCCGCTTGTTGCTTACATAAAGCATTTATCAATAAAGCCAATGAAAATGTCGGCCTTGCTTGTTTTAAAACATTTCCTCTCTGATCCAAACCTTATTTTAAATTCATAAATTTACAACATATAACAGTAATCTAGTCTGCATATAACATCACATTTTAGTGTGTCCTATTTTCAACTCAGAGAACGTGAGTTAGAGCCCTATTCTAGTTTTATCTATGTTTCTGTATCATGACACGTGTCAGCGCTTAACAATGTTCAAAGTTACAAGAACTCAAGTTGTACAATATTGCATTTAATCGGTTAAACTAAACTAAGACTTTCAAACGTATCTCTACATTTTATTTCCTAAACAAGTTCAGGTCGTCTAAGGGAAGAAACAGCAACACTGCAAATTTATACACTTCCGTTATCAGTTGTTTAAAAAGTGAAATTAAGAATCCCTACAGAAAGTCTAAAACAACAAAATGAAAATATTGCAGGCTCGGTTTGATTGAGCCTGTTCGTGGACAATCCTGTCAGGTGCAAACTATACCGTCCAGAACCCTCTAGCGCCGGCTTCAGCAGAATTCAACATATAAACATGTAAATATTTAGAAACATCCGCAGATGTGTTCGTACGGCGGTCATTATGGAACCTTCAATACGACACTTTCGTGCCATTCCATGAAAAGCGGCGTATGGTCTCCAAGTAATATAATGCGTGTGCCCTACACGAGAAAACAATGGGCGGAACTAAACAAAATGGCACTTTGAAAGGGGATCATAGGTTACGGAGCCTGCATTGTCTGATCACTGTAATGTAAACAGCTGGCCTTATCAGGATTCACAGTTACTAGTCTCAAAATATGACTCGCAGTTTCCAAGTTTAGTTGAAAGACCCGCTGCAAGAACTTATACTTTTTTATTTTGTTGATGAAAGAAAAATAATTACAATTTTGAGAATTAAAGAAAACGTGAAGAAGGAGTGCTAAACAATAAAACTTGGGCCGGGTTGACCAGATATAAGATTAACTTGGTCGGATTAAGGTAGCAAGACACTTCCACTCACAAACACTTTACCCCTCAAATTTTGAAGACACTTCACCCCTCAAGACACTTCAACATGCAATAAAACATAACATGAACAACAATTTACAGCTGACAAACACTTAGATATATTATATCATTGAAATATAACATAGAGAGAACACACATATATACATATATTTAATTTTATTTACAGTTTCAGTCATATATGATATGAGAAGTTAATAGACATTGTCTATTCTGCAACAGTGTTTAACACTGGATATCCTATTAGCACTTACACTAGAACTTTCATCAGCCCTGCACATATTTTTTAAATCAGACAGTATCTGTTTGCTGGTTCAAAAAACACATTTTTACAAACGTCCATAAATTTCCTCCACTTTCTCCAAGAATTCCTCGATCAGTCTTTAATTCATGATGATCGTACTGCCACCTGTTATACCTATTAAGTGTTTATTGCATGTCACCTTGTTTATTCAACATGTTGATTAGTTGTTTATTCAACAGTTATCTCAGAATTGATAAGATAATTGGATTAAAATGGTATAATCGTATGAAAATTAATATGTTAAAAGAATAAACATGCCCAATCACTATTGAATATATTTAACATTTGCTACATAAATAACTGTTAAAAACAAAATAAAAAAATGGGGGGGGGGGGAGATGAAGTGTCTCAATCAAATTTCTTTAAATGAGAGGTGAACTGTCTGAAAGGTGAAGTGTCTGCAAAAAAGGGCCTAGAGTGAAGTGTCTGTGGGATGAAGTGTCTGTAAATCCCGATTTAACACTTGCACCGCCTGCTGTTGTGAATATTAAAATCAGGTTTCTTAAATATTATCTTATTATTATTCCGAAACCAATGTCAGCCTAAATTTGTCGTATAGACAAATCTGACTAGACTGGAAAGGGAAGTTGTAGTTATGTTCGTGGTCCGACGTTGTAGAGACGGAGACGATACGATTCTCGTCTAGATTATAGACATAACCGGATATAAGATGGCGGGTGTCTCGCTGCAAGAAAAAGGCTGGTAAATAGATATTTTTTTGTTTTACACATTGATTAGAAATGCAACACTTGTTCTGCTTCTTTAACATGTTCGGAAAATATCATTTAACTCGATGCCTATGATGTCATATTATGTAGACAATACAAAAACATAGTAATACCCGTTGTTTTGAACACGTCACAAATTTTATGATTGTAAATTGGTGGGTGGGGTAATGCTACATTAGTAGGCAATCTCCTGGATTAGACCCTATGTATTTTACAGGTCTAAAACTTGTATATAATACACTACAGTAAGGAAGACGGAATGAGCCTTATATATACTCCTGGTTTTAGACCCCGGGGTCTAATCCAGGATATAGCCCATTAGTATTTTCAGGTAATGATAAAGAATGTAGATCTACTGTTCATTAAACAGTGAAATAGACAAACTGTTCTGATAACACTTGTGAATGTTAAGTACTTTCATAAGTGCGAAAAAATTAATTGACTGTTTAAAAGGTGTTTTATTTCATCATTAATTTAATGCTTGTAGTCCTATAAATGTGACGTAGCTTTGAGATATTTTGCTTCTGGTCAAAACAACGTCATATCGAAATTGCTCAAAAACCCATAGCACATTCAGCCAGAAAAAAACAATTAAGACAGCGTGTATGTAGATTGACAAATTTATGAATAAAACTAAAAAATAAATTAGGACAAAATTTGGACAAAATAATTAAACTGTTGCATCCGAAAAATCATGATGAAATCCTTTCATGTAATTAAATTCCTTATACAGTTGATAAACATATGACCGCCATACAGTGCGAGAAATCTGATTGGCTATTTCAAATGCAAGTGTTTAACTGAGTCAGAAGATTCTAACGGATGATTTTTTTTTAACGAAATAATTGCCCATGCACTGTCAGCATGTGCGAACATATTTTTCCGTTCAAAAATTTGGAATCAATCTGTAAAGCACCTTACTTAACCAGTATAGGCCGATAGACAAAAATAAATTGATGTTTATATTTTATTTTAAATTGATAAGTACATTGTTCAGCGATTTTCCCCCCTGAATTAAGATTGTTAATATCTTATTAAGCAGTAAGAACATATAATTTTTTTAACGTAATATTTACTGTTATAATATGAGACATTTTGAATGATGTTTTCAGAAATTACCAGACGCTTGTTTCAGTATTGATTCGTCCCTAGCAGTTTCGTATTTAAACAGTTCGAAAATTTAAAGGGCAAATGCACCGGAAATCATGGTTGGCTAAACGCATTTTAAGATAAACAAAGCACAACAGGCAAAATTCTAGCATCATTATGAGAAGAGAGGAAATAATACGTTATTAAAGGTTTAATTAATCAGAATTGTGAAATTTCATCAGAATTGTGAACAGCTCCGTCGGACCCAAGGTCCATTTGTGATTGTGAATGGGTCCGTTATTCGGTACCACTTATATAGGGAAAAAATCGCTGTTGTTCGAGAGTTTTTATTTACGACTGAGCATGAAATTGAAAGAAAAGAAGATAAGCTTTTGAATAAAGCTTGAAGGGCAAGATAATAGACATTTTTTTAAAAAATTTATGATGCTATGCGTTTATGAGCAATAACCATCAGACGTCAGGCTTGACCGGAAAAAAACTATATCAAGCCTGTAACGTCTAATATATTGGACTTTCATGCTTGATCCTACTGTAATGGTAATTTCTGTATGTATGTGGCCAGTGTTTCAATTGGTCAAAGTCAATTGTTTATTTTCTTTCTGAGTTACTGTCTGTTATTATCTAAAATTCACATCATTGGGTTATTTTGATATTATTTCAGCTTTTTAAAAATTTCTACAATGTCTTCTCAGCAATCTATATATAACTTGTAAGAGATACCTTATGATTGTCATAAAGTAAAGGGAAAGATGGTTACAATCATTTGTGAATATAAAGAAAATAAATTTCTATTTCAGGTTCTTATCAGAAGAAGGCATAGAACAATGTAGTTCGGGAGGGAAGTCTGATGTTGAGTCGATCATCAGAACTGCCTTAAATGTAAGTATAAAAGATTTTTTGTACCTTCTCACAGCCTATAAGATGTAATGGCAGATTAATACAGTCTACAAAAAGGATTTCACTTTTTCATTTGTTTTCATTTCTTGATCAAAGCTTACGTACTGATAATTTGTGTATAAAATTCTGTATCACAACACTGATAGACTTTATGTTATAGTAGTAGTTTAAGATAGTATGAAAAATATGCACAATTTTGTTTTTATAAAACTGTCAAAATATATTGAAACACATTGTTATTTATCTATTTTTTTCTAACAGACAGACCTAAGAGAAATTGCCAAGGGATGGCTTCCAGAGGATTTAAACAGAGGCCGTGCAGATTATGTAAGTTTATAATGTTCAGCATTTATGACCATTAATTGGAAATACAATTAAACATGTATTATATAATAATTGGTAAATTAAGTTATGTTGGATATAAGAATATAAAAGATAGGATTAGTTTCTTCTTTTTTTTTAATATGTATCTACAGATTATGCTTGATTGCTCTATTTTTGCTATACATGTTCAGTGCCTCATGTACTTATTTTTTCTATCATTTTGTTTTGCCTGTTTAGAAACCAAGTTACTAAAATGGCCTCTATTTTTGTAATGCAGGTTCAGGGCCCAGGTGTATTACAGCTGCAGAAAATACGTAATGTATCTGCCCCTAAGGATAATGAAGAATCTCAATATGCACCTCGGCTGATGAAACTAGTCCTAACTGATGGCCATATCACATGTTCAGCTGTGGAAACTGAGGTGTTGAAAGAAATAGGGTAAGTGTTGCAGCACAAGTAAGGCTCGAAACTGGACATGCAGTGTCAGTGTAACTTTTCACTCAATATTGACATTAGAATTTCTTTCTCTCTTTAAAAAGAATACCAATGCAACTTGTATTATCATTATGAATCATACACACCTGAACAATGCATTGAACATGAGGCATCTTATGGGGGAATTGAAAAGGAAATAGTCCCTGAGACTGAATCTAATTCTGGCTAAATCCTCATGTGTATCCCTTTATCAAACAGTGTAACTTATTATTATACCATATTTCATAACACATATATTTTTAGCTCTACTATTTGATAAGAATAAGTAGAGCTATCTTAGTCACACAGGCGTCGGTGTAACCACTTATTTTAATGTTTGTATACCACCTTAAATATTTTCATATTTCATGGACATCTGGCTTTGAAACAAGATGAAATTTTATTCACTTCTTTGAGAGCATAAAAGGACTCTCTCAAAGGCCTGTAACTGTAACATGGATTTTGAAAAAAATTTGGTCCTTTGGTGAAATATTATCAAGGCTCTTTTAGTTTTACTATCAAGCTCTTAGAAAAGTCGAGCATGCTGTCCTACAGACAGCTCTTGTTGGCATTGTAATCATTGTCATTTACTTAATTAATTCATAAATCTTTACTTAAGTTATATTTCTTTGTTCATTATCAAGTCGTAAGTTATGGAGATCAGAAAGCTGTCGATACAGAAATATTTTCACCAGTGTAACATTGGATGTGATTTCATTAAGTTATGCTATGTTATTATATATATATTGTTATTATATATTATCTTGTGTTGACATTTATAATATGCTGAAGATAATATTAATTTGGTTTATTTCGAATTGCACATATAGGTCAAAAACTGCGCCGGGTAGCAAGATTCTGTTGAAGAAGATGACAGTTGGTGTGGAACATGGTTTCTTGTTATTAAATAACAAAAACATGAAACACCTTGGTGGGCGTGTTGAGAAAATGGCCGAGGGCTGGGAACTGAAAAAGGTAATAATCTTAATACTTATATAATGGGAACAAATCACCTTGATTATATAAAAAGTGTTACTTGTACTTTTTAACTGATGATAGATAAACAAAAATATTTAGTTTTCTTTGTGAACAGAAATATGTTTGATGCTGATTTATTGTGATAATAATAATAAATAGAGATAAATTGTATACTTCTTTATTTGGGAATAGTTAAAGATAAAGTTAAAACAGGGGAAAAGGTAGGATGTGAGGTTTAAAAAAAAAAGATTGTATGTTGTACTTTTGTTCGTTTTACAGAAGTTGGCAAAACAACAGCGAGGTAGCTATACTACAGAAGGTGGACCTCCGCCGTTTGTACCGTTTGGTCAGAGGATAGGTAACGATGCTTATAAGACCACAACGAGACGAGGTTGGTCATGTTTGCTTTTGTACAACATAAATGATATTACAAATAAAAGATTTTATGAATTTTACTCTGAGGTTTATTTTTGATTAAGGTAGACTAGCATGCACTTCCTTGTAGTCTAACCAGATATTGTACTACTGGGAACCAGATATTGTACTACTGGGAACCAGATATTGTACTACTGGGTGTACAGTTTGAGCATTTTGACATGTAGAAATCACCTAATCTTTGGCCCTGCTGGACTGGAAAGTAACTTCCTTTTGCCTCTAATATAGAGCCAGGCCAGTTTGCATATCCCTACAGTCTGACCATTGATAATGGGCATTTCCAAAAAATTAAGTGGACAGTGTCATTTAAGAAATTCATCAGTTAAAAGGTCTTAAAACTCTTGGATAGAAGGCATAGAATAAATTAAAACTTTGTAGATGTGAAGAGGCAATGTTCTCTACTTTGTCTCTATCAGGGGTTATGTACATTTGTTTTTCTCAAGCTTAAAACATTAAGGGGAAATAACTTTACAGTTCATTGAAATCCCAGAAATAGTTCAGAAAACCCAAATTTATAACTTGTATTAAATGGGAGCTAATTGATTTGTTGTTTAATGTTAAATAAGTGTTATTTGTAGGGCACTGATTTTTGTGGTTTAGTCAATACATAAATTTAAGATCCATCAAAATATCATTTCTTCTTCTTTAAGATTATTTTGCATGCATTTTGCAATACATTATTTGCATTTTATTTTTTTGCAAAAATAGACAGTCTACAAATTTAGGAACACTCTAGAATGGTCTTTGTGACAAAACCAAGGAATTTCATGCCAATGAAATAAATTGAATTCACAATACATTGTTTGAAGATTTGAGAATGTAGAACTAGTATGAGTATTCAGTTTTGATTATACAAGAGTTATCATATTATGTCCTCAGATAATTTCAAGTCTCTGGACGCCAACAAAGCTGAGAAGAAGGCAGAGGACAATGAGTTTGAACAACAAAGAAAAGCCACCATAGCTGAGGCCATGCAAGCCAAAGAAGATGTTCAGTCAAAAAAGTTTGGAGGTGGACAAAAACAGGTGGGTTTCATTTTAACAAAGTTCGCTCTGGTGTAAAGATTGTCAAGATCCTTTTTCAGCTTCATCTGTCAGCATGCCGATTCATACATGACGGTGCATGATTCACTCACAAAATTCTACATGTAGTAAAAATTTAAAGGCAGGGTGTATATGCACTCAGAGTAAAATCCCCAGAGTCATTGAATTTTAGGATAGTAAACTGCATATCTGTTAAATACTGTTGGGATCTACCTATTGTTTGGGATGCTCTAGACACCATCTAAAATGTTTCTTAACGTCATGAAGTGCAGTTAGTTTGACTAGGTTTATATTGCAATATAAATATACATTAGTATTTATTAAAGCCTGTGGACATTGAAGACTTCTGTGTGCCTCTTTTTATTTTTTATTAATTTTGTATATGGTCATCACCGGGGTAAAGCTGAAAATCTTCCTGAAGCCAGGACAAGTTTTATCTCAACAGGGTGAATGAAAGATAACTAGCAGATTTTTACCGCTGTTGCTATTTTGTATTATTTCTAAGCCTTGTGTGTGAACATTAATAAACACAAATTAATCATGTATCATTCTCTTTTTGCTTAAAGGTGTCTAATGACCATGATGTGGCCAAAATAACAGAAATGGGTTTTAAAGCTGAGGAAGCGAACAATGCTCTCCGAATCAGTAATGGTAATGTTCAACAAGCATTAGACTACCTCTTAAAAGGTGGGGGATCAATGGATCGGCGTTCCCAAGGTGGCCCTAACAGACAGTCAAGTTACGAATCTGGGGATCGGAGGGGTCAAGGTGGTCCGAATAGACAATCGAGTTACGAGGATAGAAAGCCGCAGGGTGTAATGAACAGACAGTCAAACAATGATTCAGATAGAGGACGGGGGAGGAGGGATCGGAGAGATGATGATACAGGTATATGATTGGTTACTGGTTAAAAAACGCAAACATTGTACTGATGAGATATAATCCATATCAATGATACTTTTCACTGTAAAAAGTCATTAATATTTTTCTTGAATATGCATAGATTGGAACTAATTTTTGTGGAGTATGAACAATTTTATCATAACTATAAAAGAAATGTGTTTCACAGGGGCAAGAGATACACATATACTGACAACAGATTTTTTATCATGGTTAGCTCAGTTACTAGGGAGCATTCAGCAACATACACTATTGGATAGAAAGGTCCCAGGCTTGAGTCCTTGTGAGGACCCTGCACATTGTATTGAGCAAAAGATTTACTCTACATTTTTTTCACTTCACCAAGACGTTAATAGTAAACACAAGATGGCAGAATAATACATACTTCCTTAGGTAGATTAATAGACGGCTTGTATAGGTGATTAGCCATATGATGAGGTGTAAAACTATTAAATAGTGTAATATAACTGTATCATTAAACTAAGGCAATTAAAATGTGTTTTCTTTACTAAATACATATATAGTAAAAACTTGAATACAAAAACATATCGTTGATTTTACAGAATCACAAATGTATGCGTTAAATAATCATGTATAAAGCTCTGCTTGGTTTATATTAACAGGTCCACCAAGAGGTCGGCGTGGAAGGGACACAGAAGAAGGTGATGAAGTCAGTAGTAAACCGTCCGGTCCAGCCACCTTGTTTGATTTCCTTGCTGTTTCAAATAAAATACCCGAGGCTAAAGGTTAACATTTTAACATTTATTACTACATAATTAAATAGCTGCATGACTGCAGATTTTGGTTTAATGTGGTGAAAAGGAAAAAAATGTTATTATGGTAAAAATGTTGATGTGGGGTATTATGGTTAGGTGATTTGACCTAGCCTAAAACACTTAATATCTACAGAAATTACCTGTAAGTAGGCAAAACATGCAGACATTTCATTTTAAGTAACAGGGTAAACCTTTCATGATGAAATTAATGCATTATTTCATGGTGTGCTAACTACATTTTAAGTTTCATCTGGTTTGATCCATTGGCGAGGGGAAAATTTTCCATGACATTGAAATCTTACTAGTCATTTGTCCCTCACAAATGGTTAGCACATCATGATAAACTCCTCACAATGATTACCTCCCTTGGCATATTGTCTCTGTGCTGATAAGGGGAGATCACTGCGTAAGAGATTGACATCATGAGGGATTAATAGCTTATCTCCTGTGGTGATATTGGATATTACTGATCATTAATACAGGAAAGCCTGTTAGGTGGACCCACCGTCAAGATATGACTAAAAATGTGTTTGAATATGGTTGAAAAAATAAACATAAACAAAAGATCACTGAAATTCAGAATTTAGTCACCTGGACATATGTAAATTTTGTTTACATCTTTGAGTCTTCACTCTTTAAGGTGAAATCTCAAAGGTCAATATTTCTCCTTGAGGATTAAGGTCAATGTTGGTTTTATCTTAATTTGATTTGATTTAATTTGATTCAGTTATATTACTGTACTGCTTGTATAGCTTCTATATTAATGAAACTTGTAATTTAACATATTTTATTATAATATGTAGATACAAAACCAAAACCATCCTCTGGAAAAGATACCTCAAATAGAAACCATTATGATAACCGAGAACGTCCTAGAACGTCCAGTGGAAGTTCTGACCAGTCAAATCGTGCAAAACAATCTGTACCTCCTAGATTTGTGAACAAACCAAAATATGATCAAGGTCAGAACAGGGGTCAAGGTTATTACCAAGATGAGAGGTCACAAAGGTCAAGGGAGGACAGGCCTAAAACAGCTCCGTCAGAAAACCGCAGATATGAAAACCGGACACAGAATGATAGAAATACAAGTGAAAGAGACAGAAATACTAGTGAAAGGAACAGAAACTATAACGATAGAAATTATAATGATAATAGGGACTACAAAAGAGGTGGGGGTAAAACTGACGACAGAAACTTTAAACAAAATGATAGGAAAACAGCAAATTATGATTCTAAGTCAAATTCAAATAATTATCAAAGACAGTCCGACAATAGGGAAAATTCCCGAGGGAATTACAGACAAGAAAAAGGTGGAAATAGAGATGGCCCACCTTCTTCAGATAATCGACCAAAACCAAGTGAAAGTAATACTAATAACTCATCATCATCATCAAGGACTTCTTATTCTAATGAAAGGGGTGAACAGGGTAGATCACGGAACCAGCAAGGTCAAAGTTCACAGTCCCAAAACCAGTCCAGTGCCAATAATTCATACAAATCAGACTCATACTCAAAGGGAGGAAACTCCCAGAAGTCACAGTCTAATTATAGTGCTAATAATAGGGGAGGTAACTCTCAAAATTACAATTCTGGGGGTGATAATTATGTTCAAAATCAGCAGACGCAGTCTAGTAATTATAGAAACTATAATAATTATCCACCAATGAGCACGAGTGGAGGCCAATATCAACAAACACCAGAATACATGTACTCCGAGGTAAGTCAGTTTAGTTTATACAAACTTATTTTAGTTTGTTTATGCTGGAAGCTTTAAGCTTATTGAAACATTCTTGAAATCGTTCCTGGAACCCATCACTACTAAGCAATGAATGCTCAAGGAAACAGCATCTTGGCCCTGATAGGGTCCAAATCCAGGCGGCAAGCAATTCTTAAGTCTGTTTGTCATGTAGTGATTCAAAATCACAGTGTCATGCCCTCACATTCATCATAATTATACCCCCAATAACAAAGTTTGGGGGGGTATATAGGAGTCACCCGGTGGTCGGTTGGTCGGGCGGTCGGTCCAGACGTCCGTTGCATTTTCCTTGTCCGGAGCATAACTTGAAAACTAATGGTTGGAATTCAATATACATGTAACTACATACAATGGTCAAGCACATTGAGAGGAAGTGCAGTGCACAAGAACCATAACTCTATCTTGACTAATTACAGAGTTATTGCCCTTTGTTACTTTTCCTTGTCCGGGGCATAACTTGAAAACTACTGGTTGGAATTCAAAACAACTTCATACAATTGTCAAACACAATAAGGGGAAGTGCAGTGCACAAGAACCATAACTCTATCTAAAGTAATTACAGAGTTATTGCCCTTTGTTACTTTTCCATTGCCTTTTTTGTCCAGACCATAACTTGAAGACTAATGGTCGGAATTCATTATAACTTCATACAATGGTCAAGCACATTGAGAGAAAGTGCAGTGCACAAGAACCATAACTCCATCTTGACTAATTACAGAGTTATTGCCCTTTGTTACTTTTCCTTGACCAGAGCATAACTTGAAAACTACTGTTTAGAATTAAATACAACTTCATACAGTTGTCAAGGACATTAAAAGGAAGTGCAGTGCACAAGAGCCATAACTCCATTTTGACAAAATACAGAGTTACTGCCCTTTGATAATTTTCCTTGTCAGGAGCATAACTTAAAACATACTGGTTGGAATTCAAAACAACTTCATACAATGGTCAAGCACAATAAGAGGAAGTGCAGTGCACAAGAATTATAACTCTATCTTCATTGCCCTTTGTTCCTTTTCTTTGTCTTTCTGGACTTATTACAGAGTAATTCAATTAAACTTCATCAATGGCCAACCACATTGAAAGGAAATGCAACATATAAGAACCACAACTAATGAACTATCTTTAATTGCCCACAACCATAACTCTATATTTCAATTCTTTTACAAGGTATTCTGTTACTAGCAACATCCTCATTTCCGAAGCAGTCTTGTGGGGGTATTAATCACATTTAGTGATAGTTCTAGTTTTAATTGGTTTAACTGAATAAGCTATATTTCAAAAGATTGAATTTTATAATGGTGATTGGCCAATAATAGGTAATGACATTTGTTAAGGATGAAATATTAAAACTGCATATGAGGCTCTAATTTAGCACTCAAAATCTCACAAATGCAAATCAAAATTTAAAAATGCCAGTTACTTTTATTTACACTCCCAATGAGTAACCTTTCAGTAACTATTAAAGTACAACAAAATTACAAACTTTTGAGAAATAAAATGAACGGGCCTTTAATGTTTCATTTTGCACAAATTTACAACTTTATACTACTTTTATTGATTTTAATGTAAAGCATTTATGTTTCTAAAATATATGAGTGGCTTTTTCAAGTGTGTTTTAAATTGCTTTCCTTTTCTATATACATGAATGAAATAATGTATTATAGATGTAATTATTGGTCAAACAAATTGAATTAATATTTTCATCATTTTATTGGTTTCACAGCAACCAGTTCAGTTTAATATTAAAGTTGGAGACAAGGTGATGGCCAAGTACTGGGAAGATAATCTGGTAAGTTATATCCATTGTAATTTATAATGAGTTCTTGACAGGTTATATGACTTATTTTATATGGTTAGAAGCTTACATAACCCAAGCCAACAGGCGAGGGTTAGGATTCAATTGTTAATACATGGTCATATAACATGTAACAAATTAATAACAGCAGAATAACTTTATTTGAGGTAAATTTGAAAATAACTTCATATTAAATTGACAGAGCAGTGGATATAGAATATATATATATAAACGTCACAGTTCTCCAATGCAAAGGGACATTACAAACATGCTGTATGATAAAACTGTTTATATCTGGCTACTGATAATCTGAATGTGTTTTGATACAGATTATATTTGATATTGTACAGAAATACTGTGTGAAGAAGTGAACAATAAGTGCAATCTCTCTCCAGTAGTATGATGGGGGATATTATTAATGGTGTATCCTCAATGTGCAGAAGCTTTACTGAGACTTTGGTAGTTCCATTATTCCCAGGACACATGGATGGCCTGGCTACAATTGATTTGTGCATCAAATTGATTAATTTATCTATAAATTAAATGTTTTTGAATCTTTAGTAAATATTTTATACATTGATGTTTTACAGTTTTACGAGGCATGCATTGAAATGATGACACCTAACATGCCCACAGCAATCGTGTCCTTCACGGAATATGGTAACTCGGAGGAAGTTCTTCTGACAGATATCCGTCCTTATATACCACAAGTTGTAAGTATGAAAGTTGATGAAAAAGGGGAGATCATTTATGACTTATGACTAATGAACCCTCTAACCACCTCCTTAAAACAATATTCAGTCCTCATATTTGTGTGGCCTGCTGCAGAGTAACGGCAGCCTATAGGGATCACTTTTCCGTCGTCTGTCCAAGTTTACATTTTGATACTTATGTGGCTAGAGAAACAATAGGTAACTGTACTTTCTCTTTGATGTCGTGCATTCAGTAAGGCTTTTATGTGGCTAAAAAGAACAATAAAAATAGCAATCGATCAGCACAAAAGTGCTGTCTCATTAGAATGTTTATCTGTCCATCCGTCACAAAACTTGTTCAGAGTACTCCTCAAAAAAATTCTGGTGCAATTCCATCCAAACTTTACACAGTTTTTTTATAGAGGATGAAGATCAGGAATTTTGTTTTACTTCAACACTTTAAGAAAATCGACTAAGCAGAGTTTGACACATAGAAGATCTACTGTATTATATGTTGGCATGTTGGCTCTTTACCAAAAAAAGAAGTTATTTTATATTTTATTACCTTGCAGATTCCCCAGCAAGGGCCCCTCATACATACAGACATGAGTGTACCGCCTCCACAAGTGTTCTATTCTGCACCTCCCCAGCCTGGTGTCTCCGGGGTAGAGGATGTCATTCAGGCATTTGGAGGAATGGAGTTTCGGAGAGGAGGGGGTGGGGCTGCTTATTCCCGGAAAGATGGGCGGGGCCAACAGCAATATTACCAACCCCCTCCTCAGAGAAGATAGAGCAGGGGAAAAAACAGTTCTTTTCTTTATGTGTAACAAAACCTTTAAGGCCATATCAAAATATCTTTTTGTTCATTTTATTTCAAAAACATCCCTTTTATCAGTTAATTTATCAGTTTATGTCTTTAAATGATTTTATTCTTTTAATTGAAAGTTGTAAATGAACAAAAATGTTCTCTGTGCTTTCCATTTTTGTAGTTTTTGTAGGAGAAATACTGAAACTTACAATAAATTCCTTAACTCAAAAATAATCTGATGGACAATGGTTTTGATGTGGCCTTATATATACATTGTACTGCTGATAAGACTTCTGTTGTATGTTGCTTTTTACAAAATTAACCAAGTGTGCAATTCCCCCAGTATTTAGAGGACAAGAAATACCAAATCCTGTATTTAACACATGAAATGTTTCCAAATAGTCAGAATTATAATAAATTCAAACAGAATTAAAAAATCAAAAGCAGAAAATAAATGGCTTTTCGTATGTCCCTGCATTGATCAAGTGTTATATTGTTTTTGTTCTATCAGTTAACATGTTTATAGACAGTGTTAATTTTAGACATAAACATTTTCATTCTATAAGTTAACATAGTTAGTCAAGACTTATCGACAGATAAGAACTTTATTTTCATATACATGTATGACATTGACACCTTAATAAACATTGACCTTTTATGATAAAATTCAGGAAATTTCAACTTTAACATTGCTGTTAATTTACAAAGTTGACGGGTGCATATATGTTTACAAACATATCATGTTTACAATGGTTTTGGAAAGTAAAGATTTTCCTGGGAATTTTTGGAAACTTGCATTAACATTTTAAGGGACTCCACTGAGGTCCAAAAGTATAATAAAAAAAAACTTAAAATTTCAAATTTCTTACATAGATCAACTGGGCACTTAAAACAGAAAGATATGCAAAAGATAATTAAGAAATAATTTGATATCCTATTTTTGTGTGATTTTTAGTCAGGGTTGTGGTTATTATTCACATAATAATTATTTTGGGAAAACTGAGTGAAGGAATGAATGAATGATGAAATTTTGCACACAAGTTATTGTTCTAGACCTACATCAAATGGAACATTCATGTCTTAATTATTTTTCCTGTGCCGTTGTGTCAAAAAACCTCAGTGGAGTCCTTTTAAATACTGTTACTTTTATGGAGGAAGCAGGGTGTTGTTCTGTTAATGCTGATATTTATTCTGTTTCTTGAAACAATGAATCATTTATTACGTATATTAATTTGATGTCTAACAAAGTTATCATCTGCAAAATCATGCTAAGAAATTGTGTTATTGATTATTTTTGTTTGTTTGTTTGAATGGTTTTGAAATATTGTAGTTGAAAGACCGGAGAATAAGTACTGACAGGGGAATGGATTGAATATTTTAACAAGAGTTTTGGGGTATATTTTTATGTCACATGCATCTTTATTTACATGATTCACGGTCAAAGTGAATAGAAACTCTGTGCTAGTCTATATTTTCATTGTCAGGCACCAGGTAGTTCACATTTGTTATTAACTGTCTGGTTGCAGATTAGCAGATAAAACTGTTATTAACTCTTAAACCTGGTGCTGGTGACTTGGTAAACCCATGTGACCTTTGCCATCCAAGATTGATCAACACATCCATCTCTTTCTGATCCTAATTTGAACTACTTGCTGTTCATTCAGTAAATATGTGGTAACTTTCCCCAAAAATTATTAATGATTGCCTAAATTGAAAGATACACATGGCCATTTAAGATATTTATGATTAAAGATATTTATGATCGTAAGTGAGTAAAGCAGTCTTTCAATCAAATTTTCAGGTCAACAAAATTGTCATAACTCAGTTTTCCCTTATAATTTCTAAACAATATTTTATCAAAAATTGAAGTGAAGTTTGGAATCAATAAGGTAACTTGAACTCTTTTGACTCAGAGAATAGGTTTTTTAGCTCACCTGTCACAAAGTGACAGGGTGAGCTTTTGTGATCGCTTTTCGTCCGGCGTCCGTCCGTCGTCCGTCCGTCGCCCGTCCGTCCGTCCGTAAACTTTTACTTTAAATGACATCTCCTCATAAACCACTAAGCCAATTTCATCCAAACTTCACAGGAATGTTCCTTTGGTGGTCACCTTTAAAAATTGTTCAAAGAATTTAATTCCATGCAGAACTCTGGTTGCCATGGCAACCGAAAGAAAAAACTTTAAATATCTTCTTTTCAAAAACCATAAGAGGTAGAGCTTAGATATTTGGCATGAAACATCTTCTAGTGAGTGTCTACCAAGTTTGTTCAAATAAAAGTCCTGGGGTCAAAATTGGCCCCGCCCCGGGGGTCATTGATTTTCCCTATATGCATATAGTAAAAACTTAAAAAATCTTCTTTTAAAGAACCCAAAGAGCTAGAGCTAAGATATTTAGCATGAAACATGTTCTAATGGGTGTCTACCAAGTTTGTTCAAATAAAAGCCCTGGGGTCAAAATTGGCCCCGCCCTGGGGGGGTCATTGATTTTCCCTATATGCATATAGTAAAAACTTAAAAAATCTGCTTTTAAAGAACTCAAAGAGCTATGGCTAAGATATTGAGCATGAAACATGTTCTAATAGGTGTCTACCAAGTTTGTTCAAATTAAAGCCCTGGGGTCAAAATTGGCCCCGCCCCGGGGGGTCATTGATTTTCCCTATATGCATATAGTAAAAACTTAAAAAATCTTCTTTTAAAGATCCAAAAGAGTTAGAGCTAAGATATTTAGCATGAAACATGTTCTAATAAGTGTCTATCAAGTTTGTTCAAATAAAAGCCCTGGGGTCAAAATTGGCCCGCCCCAGGGGGTCATTGATTTTCCCTATATTCATATAGTAAAAACTTAAAAAATCTTCTTTTAAAGAAATCAAAGAGCTATGGCTAAGATATTTACCATCAAACATGTTCTAATAGGTGTCTACCAAGTTTTTAAAAAAAAAAAAAAAAAAAAGCCCTGGGGTCAAAATTGGCACCACCCGGGGGTCATTGATTTTCCTTATATGTGTATAGCAAAAAGTTAAAATACCTTCTCTGAAAAAACCCAAATAGCTAGAGTTAAGATATTAAGCATGAAACATCTTTTAGTGAGTGTCTACAAAGTTTGTTCAAATAAAAGACCTGGGGTCAAAATTGGCCCCACCCCGGGGGTCATTGATTTTCTTTATATGTGTATAGCAAAAACTTAAAATCTTCTTTGAAAAAACCCAAATAGCTAGAGTTTAGATATTAAGCATGAAACATCTTCTAGTAAGTGTCTACAAAGTTTGTTCAATAAAAGCCCTGGGGTCAAAACTGGCCCGGCCCCAGGGGTGTCATTGCTTTTAACTATATGTGTATAGTAAAAACTTTAAAAAAAATCTTCTTTTAAAAAGCCCAATGAGCTAGAGCTTAGATGTTTAGCATGAAACATCTTCTTATGGGTGTCTACCAAGATTGTGCAAATAAAAGCCCTTGGGTTAAATTGGCCCTGCAACGTTGGGGGGTGGGGGTTTTGGGGGGGCTATATACAGGTGAGCGACCTCAGGGCCATCATGGCCCTCTTGTTTTTTATCTGGACCATTTATGTACATTTTGGTAATGTATTACAAAATATCTTATCAGTGATCAGTCTTTAAGAACCTTGCCATGAAATATTGGGACGTGTCATTTTACAATATGATTCTCTGGTGTATATTATTTTTACCTCACTACATGTATTTGGTTGCTTAGCCAGTATTAGAATGTGTTTGATTCTTTTTTTTTTGCTAGAAAGTCTTTAGACAAGAACAGCAATATTTACATTACAAATTGTGTTGTTTACTCAGTGCTTACAGTGTATTTTATATTAATATTGAAGTATCAGTTTGTTGATTTGTTTTGTAAATTGCTTTTTAACACTTTTATGAATTTCGAAAGTACCTTAACAGTCAAAGATAATGATGTTTTCCTTTACCTTACAAGTTGAGATTTATAAACTATTTCTGTCAATGTAAGAATTTAATTGTTTTCTCATGAAAGTTTTTTTAACAAATGGAATGACAAAAGATGATTTTCAACTTAATCCTTCACTAGTTAAATGACTTGCTATGATACTTTGTGTGCATTTTCCCATACAGATTTCACAATTTTTAAGCTAGATACCTGAAAATTGACCCAGTACAACTAGGTTCTTCTTCAAACTGAAGAGCTTGTTATATTTCCGACTAAGTAGACACTTATATTTGAGGCCCAGGCAGGGGATTGTCAAAATAGCATAAATAGTTCTCACTACAATACCATGTGTCCGAACAGATGTGTATAACTTTTAATGTAAATTTAATCTAGGAAATGACTTTAAATTTTCATTTTTTTACATATTTACAATATTTCAGCAGCATATGATGAAATTTTTGAGTGTTCTATCGTTTACTCTGCAAATGATTATAGCTTTGATGATTATACAACATTTTTAGTCCCCTGCCGGTTTACCGGAGGGGACTTTAGGTTTACCCTCCGTCCGTCTGTCCGTCTGTCCGTCCGTCTGTCCGTCCGTCCGTCTGTCTGTCAGTCCGTCCGTCCACAAAACTGGATCCCGCGATAACTTGAAAAGTACTGAAAATATTTTTATGAAACTTGATATATGGATAGATGGCAGTATGGAGATTATGCACGTCTTTTTCTTTTCTTCCTATGTTGAAAATTCTGGTTGCTATGGCAACAAATAGACTGAAAATATGGCAAATTTTACACATAAACTGGATCAAGTGATAACGCAAAAAGTACTGGGAATATTTTTATTGAAACTTGATATATGGATAGATGGCAGTATGGAGATTATGCACGTCTTTTCTTTTCTTCCTATGTTCAAAATTCTGGTTGCTATGGCAACAAATAGGCTGAAAATATGGCAAATTTTACACATAAACTGGATCCAGTGATAACGCAAAAAGTACTGGAAATATTTTTATGAAACTGGATATATGGATAGATGGCAGTATGGAGATTATGCACGTCTTTTTCTTTCCTTCCTATGTTGAAAATTCTGGTTGCTATGGCAACAAATAGACTGAAAATATGGCAATTTTTACACATTAACTGGACCCAGTGTTAACGCAAAAAGTAATAGAAATATTTTTATGAAATTTGTAATATGTGTAGATGGCAGTCTTGAGATTATACACGTCTTTTTCTTTTCTTCCTATGTTGAAAATTCTGGTTGCTATGGCAACACATAGACTGAAAATATGGCAAATTTTACACATAAACTGAATCCAGTGGTAACTCAAAAAGTACTGGAAATATTTTTATGAAACTTGACATATGGGTAGATGGCAATCTTGAGATTATGCAGGGCTTATCAGTTCCCCCTATTTTGAAAAAATATTGGTTGCCTTGGCAACAA